TCCACTGTGTCCACTTTCAAAGCAGTAGAAACCAAGCAAGCTAGACCACCCTTAGGCCTTCCTGTCATAGATTGTCTGGTGGCGGTCATGGAAATGACCGTAAACCCTGTAAGGGATATCTTATCGCATGCCCAGGTCTCCTGAAGCAGGACCACATTAAATGAGTGAATATAGTTGGTGAATTCTGTGGTACCACACCTTCTCCCTCAACCTGCTATGTTCCACGAAAGGCACTTAAGTGTGCAGGGTTTTTTTTTGCCAGAATTAATAGTCATTCTGTGTGATTTTTCCCAGAGTGCCCTTCAGATCCGAAAAGATACACTCGTTAAGTGGCAGGGTCATCCTCTTAGGAGGCAAAGGCAAGGAAGGAGGGAGGGGAGGCGAGCCTTGTTCATGGGGCTGTAGGGCTCTAAGCGCACTCCAGTTCGTACTTGTGGCATTAATTGGTTGCTTAGCTGGCAAGTATTCAGCAGCATCAACAGATGGAGTTTGAAGTAGCCCTGGATCTCCAAATGTATGAATTAGACATTCTGGAGAGAGTGCCAAGGGAGCTTCCATTGGTAAATCAGTATAGACTCCCTGGAATCCAAGGGAATCCTTACCAGGTAGTGAAAGACTCCAGAGCTTGGATTTAACTGCATCCAGACGCTTTATGATTTGGGCCCTTTCTGGTTGTGGAAGCACACAAAAGGAGTCAAAAAGCTGTGTCTCCTCCTGGTTCCAGAAATTGTCTTGTCATAAGTCAGTCTCAAAAATAGATGGGATCTCAGAGGCACTGACCTGGGGCTTATCTACTAAGGAACCATGGGTGCCCTGGGATGGTGTCGCTTCCTTTGGGGCCATTTCTTCCCAGCTGATCAAGTCAAGGGAAGCTTCCTGGTAAGATGTTACTTGCTGCGGAGGGTGTGTGTGTTGATTTGACTGGTTGTAGGAGGAACAGTCAGGTTACCATCTGAGAGGATGCCAACTGGAGGTTTTGCGGGAATAGGTGTATAGGTGTTTCAGTTTCAGTTTTACTTTCACAGCAGCAAACAACTTTACTACAGAACAGCTGAGCTAAGCCACACCCAGGCTCCTTGCTGTCTCCTTCTTGCTTCACATATCAAATACTGTTTAAGTTTCCAAACACCCCTCGACTCACCCTCAACACCCTCTCTCACACACTGACAGGATGCTAGCCAGATGAATACCAATGGATGCTGATAGGCAGAGGCAGATTTTTTTCCGTATTTTCCTGTTCAGTTCAGACAAATCTATTCCTTCTACTGTAACATCAGTTAAAAGGAAAAGAGGCAAAAAATGCAGAAAAAGATTTACAGATGTGATTAGGAAAACACAAGTAACACACAAGTATTGTCAAACTCATTCCCAAGTCAGGCTATAAAAAAATATACATCTAATGATCCCTATGTTAATCAGTCACAAATGAGAGGTATTTCTCTGGTTTTCAATATGAATCTTAGATTCATTATTCCAGGTTGTTGATCTTGAACCTCAGTACTTTGTGCCTGATGCTGTGCTCTAAAGTGGCAGGATGAGATTCCCGGGATGTGCTGCAGTGATGGTAAAGTCCAGATCCCTCCCCTTCAGCCCTCTCCTAAACAGTTACACAACCTTCTCACCCACCAGCATCCAGTTAAACATTTTTGCCAGTCTAGCGGGAGGAAAGTGCCATCTGTAGAACATTTTATATTGATTTTCTCTGTATGCTGTAGATGTAATTAATTTATAATTTAATCCCCACATTCTCTCCCAATTTTCCAGGTCTATATTATGGCCAACGTTTTTCACCCATACCACCATCATCTCTTTGACCACCTCCTCTTCCATTTTAAAATCTAGTAGAAAGCTATATATTCTTGAGATCATTTTCTTTTCCATTTCTTTTAGAATTTTACCTAATTGATGCTTTTCCATGCAGAAACCAAATTGTTCTTTGTCCTTCTGGTATCTCGCCTGAATTTGCACGTATGGCCACCAATCTATCTGTATATTTTCTTGCTGTAATTCTTGTCTCGTTTTTAATCTTCCTTATGTGTCTAGTAAGTCTTTATAAGTCCTCTTTTTCCCCAGATCCATTGCATTTGGGTAGATTTGTGCTTCCATAGTTGACAACCAGTCCGGTATTTGAGTATAATGATTCTTTTAAATCTTGTTTCATGTCCGTATTAATGAATCTCTAATCATGTGTCTCTGAAAATATGCATGCTGTTTACATTTCCCATCCCATAGAAAACTATGCCACCCTCTCTGCAAGTCATCACCCTCTATCAACAATACTCTTCTATTTTCCAGGTTGATCCAATCTTTATTCCATACCATAGCTTGTCCCAGTCTGCTGTTCTTCTTCTGATGTCTTGCGTTGATCCACTTTCCTGCTTCCCGATCACAGCTGGTTGTCACAGCTTCGGACCCGCCGTAGATGCCGGGTTTCTTTCATGCCAGATTCAAAGTGCTTCCCCTCATTGCAGCGGGAGGTTGCTTTCCTCCACTCTGCTCCTAAATTCTCCCTTCTAATTCATGTTTCACTCCAAGCTTCATGATGCCTCTGAGAGCTTCCAAGCACAAATATTCGGATACAGGATTGCAGAAATCGCTCTCCTGCTCCACTCCACCGTGACCTCACCACTGGAAGTCCCACCCACCAGCATCCAATGGCAAAGCACTTTCTTTCTGCTATCTGGAAGTACAACGGATGCTTCCAAATGACATCTTTTGGAGCCAGAGAGGTGAGGGAGGGAAATTTTATGTCAACATTCAGAGTGCAGGGGCAGGTCTACCACAGGATAGGAAGTATCATGGCGGGGCTTCAGCAGCAGCCTTAATTTCTCCAGATATACTTTGTTGGTGATGATGACAATGAGAGGGACATCCATTGTGGAATTTATATATCTAAAAGCGAAATACCACTCACACATCATCACAAAATCTTCAGAACCGTAAAGCCTACAAACTTGAAATTTGGCATGTATTGGCTTCTAGGTGCTCACTAACAAAGGATTTTTTGAAATAACCATCAGAGGATTAGTATTTCCTATATTATTATTAACATTCATTGTGTGGAGACAATAACTTGGTCCTCAATACCAATAAGACCAAGGAGCTTTTAGTGGATTATAGAAGGAACAGATCAGACATCCAGCCCTTGCTTATCAATGGAGACTGAGTGAAGCAAGTGGCCAGTTTTAAGTTTCTGAGTGTTACCCTAAAAGAGGACCTGACCTGGGGTGCCCACATTGCAGCCGTGGTCAAAAGGCCCCAGCAGAGATTATACTATCTGAGACTTTTCAGAAAATAACAACTGAATGAAAAACTGCTGGTGACCTTCTACCGCTGCACCATAGAGCATTTTAACATATTGCACCTCTGTATGGTTTGCCAATTGCACAGTGGCAGATAGGAAAGCACTCCAGAGGGTTAATGTCATTGCCCAGAAGATCTTCTAGCAGAAGATCATTGGCTGCCCTCTCCCCTCTTTGGAAGAGCTTTATAGTTCCCGCTGCCTTAAGAAAAATCAAAACATTCTCAAAGATCCATCTCATCCTGGGAACCCTTTTTTTGAACTATTACCATCTGGCAGATGGTACAGAATAATAAAAACAAGGAGAAATAGGCTGAAAAACAGTTTCTATCCCAGGGCAGTAGCTGTTTTGAATTCTGCTGTATAGTGCAGTGTTGGTGTGGTGTTTGGGGGTTTCCAGTTCAATGTGTGAAGGGTGAAGGATGTGTGCTTGTGTTTATTTTCATGATCATGGTCATGATGTGCACTTAAGATAATTTTGTTGTACGAGGTGCAATGACAATAAAGTAAACTAAACTAAACACATTCTTATGCTAAGGACTTCTACTCCCCCTCCCCACCTGAAAAGAAATATCTTCCAACTGCAATTCAGCTAAGCCACACCCTTGCTGTCTCCTTCTTGCTCACACAGCAAATACTCTTTCACTTTCTAAACAGCCTTGAAATCTTTCACACACTGACAGGATGCTAGCCAGATGAATACCAATGGACATTGGTAAGCAGAGGCACAATTCCCCCCTCCTTATTTTCCTCACCAAAAACTTGCCCGATCACATAGTTTCGTAGTGAAGCACGAGTACTCTGCCAGTTTATTATAAATCTCATCTGTTTCAAGAGATGAGTGTGTGAAATTGAAACTGTCTGCTGATAGAAAAAATGCCAGTGATGACCCGGGGCATGGCACAAAAGCATCAAAGTCACAAAAGTAGGTAAAGTCCCTTTAATACCACTACTTCGCCTCCAATGTCCAATTACCATCGGCTGGAGAAAAAAAACTCTCCCAAGAACAGTTTTGAAGGGAAGAAATTTAGTCCGAACCCAAAGTACATATAAATTATAAATAAAAACCAACACAAACCACGCTGCAGCAATTAACAAGACAGGGCAGGGTAAGGAATTGCAGACTTCAAAAGATAATGAAACACACACAATTGGGAGGACACCAGAACCCAGATAAGACTTGACTTGGAATGGAGAAGGAAGCAACAAGAGTTACGGGGGTTATGGGGGATACGGGGAGAAAAGGGCCCTGATTCCCTTCATTAGCTGCAGATGGGAAAACAGGATTTTAAAAGGGAGTTTGCACACAGTACCTTGCTGAACGTGAATTATTTTGGTAATAAATAATTCACGCTTTGCTTCCAGCAAGGTACTGTGTGCAAATTCCCTCTTAAAATCCTGTTTTCCCAGCTACAGCTAATGAAGGGTATCAGGGCCTTTTTCTCCCCCATAACCCATGTAACTCATGTTGCTCCCTTCTTTGTTCCTCCCTGTGTGCCCTAGGATGAAGAGGGGGTGGCCCTGGGTCTTCCTCTGAATGCCTAGCTGGACTGTGCCCTTCCCCAATTTCTTCCATAGCTACCGGAGCCACACTCCCACTCCCAGTCAGCTGCTCGACCTCCCCCTCAAAATCAGATTCCAACAGGGGCATGACAGTGCCTAAAAACTAGGAAGAACAGTTTATATTACTGATACTCACTGGATTGCTTGCCTTTGGGACAACATGTACTGAGATTGGTTGCCACAGGAGTTTAGGATTCCAGATTTGATCACAAACGGACCAGCAAGATTTGCTTGGGCACTCAAGCAAATGGTTCGATCAATTTCAGTGCTCTGGATTAAAATCTAAGAGAAATAAAAGACAACTGTCTTATAAGTTAATATTTTTTCCCTGAATTTTGCATGCCCAAGTACAGCCTGAGTGTGGTGGAAACAGAGATGTGGTAGAGAGACATCAGTGTTTTCTTTATAGCTAGTGTAGTTCTTTAGTTTTAATGTGCGTACTTTAATAAGGCATTACATACTAATTTATTTCTTCCATTTAGTGTACTTGTTTATATGTACGATGACTGCAAATTTTGTGAATAGTTATGCCCTTTTTTGCAGGATTTTATGAAAATGTACATAGTTGATGGGCTGTCTGCTAAAATAAAGCAAGGTCATACACACACTTGAAAGTAAATCAGGAAGCCTGTAATTGTGGAGTCTGTCTGGCAAGAACAAAAAATTCTTATCCACAAGAAATATGCATGTGTAAATTTTGTAACAATCCTGGCTAATTAGAAAGCTGATAAAAGTAACATGAGTTAGACAACTTGCAGACCTCAGATAAAAGGTAGGAATAGAGATGGCCTGCAGCAAATCAAATGTGTATTAGATAACTACTAGGGCATTCATTAGCTAAGACTTGGGAATAGGGGCAGCTAGAGACCAATAGAACAAATTGTAGAATTATTACTAAAATGTTTATTAGATGCTATTTCTTATTATTTCACTTTGTCCCACCTTCTCCTTTAGTGAAAATGTATAAATTTACTCAATCTTTTGTTCTTGGCTCTTAGCATTTTGACCAGGAGCCCCTTTCCTTGGAGTACTCAAAAAAAAAAGCAATCAGAAAACCTGCACCTCATGTCTGGCATCCATCATTGGCTTTGACACCAGGCTCAGACCCGAATTGGGGACAACATGGTGAGAACTTAACAGTTCAAATATATGCCAAAACAGAAAAAAAAAAGAGAACTCTGCTTTGAGCTATCTGCTCTTGAAGCCTCAGTGAAAAATGAAGTGAGTTGAGACATCCATTAAAAATGTCTGAATATTAATGTGATATTTCTTAAAATTTTGAATGAGAAGCCCAAGTCCAAATCTACTCTCAACCATAGAAACTTATGAATGACTTTGGGCCTCTCAGCCCAACATTTCCTAATGTATTGCTGCTGAGGGAAAAATTGACATCTTAACCTTTAGAAATCTAGCAAACAGACAGATATATTAATTGATAAAATATACAGAAAATTACATTTATTCACCTGCAATTTCTGTAAATTTCTGGCTCTCAAATACTACGTGTAAAAGTTGTTGTGGCCCCGATTCCCGAGCCTATGCTGTCAGAGGAAGAGGGCCTGGAAGATGAGGAGGAGGAACTGGGAATGCCTTCCTCCCCAGGACCTTCCTCTCTGGCAATGCCTTCCTCCCCAGGACCTTCCTCCCTGATAATGCCTCATGTTCTATCAGACAACTGAGAAGAACAGCCTGAGATTAATCAGGAGGAAGGCATATCGGAGCAGCCCCTGACAGGGAGTAAAGAGGAAGAGTGTTGGCTTAATGCTAAGCAGCGTTGTAGGGAGAAACATGAGCACCAACGTAGGAGGCGTGGGAGGGTCACAGAGTGAGCTGAGTCATTGAGCCACACCCCACAGGGGATAAAAGTGGCTGTGTTTTCTCCTGAAACTTTGTACGGGACAAAGTTTAACCTAACTTCAGATTTTCTTCATGAATGATTATTTTTGTGGACTGCCTTGTGATTTTCTGTGAGTAAAACTTTATCAGTTTGGACTTGGCATGTGGGAATACCAAGAATATTATCAGTTCCAAAGAATTAACTCTGTGAAGTCTGAGCCAGCTTGCCTGCCTGTGTTGGTGTGAGTTTGTACTCTTTCATATTTTGGGAAAGAGGAAAGGCAAGACAGAACAAAAAGTTATATAGGAAACATGTATAATTTATCTTTGGGCATCAAAATTCTGAATCTTTGATGTTTTGAGCAATATATGACTGGAATTAGATAAAACAAATTATGTGCTTGTACTCACCTCCTCTCTTTTATAACTGACATTCAGAAAATCTGAACATCTCTTCTTTATGCATTGTCCAAGCTCATATTGCTGCTGCATTCCAATCTATGAAAAAACAATATAGCCATGAGTTACTTAAAAAGAAAAATGCACTTTCCAGTTCGCATGAACTAATAGCCATATCTTAAGATTTTAAGGTAATCCCTGACTTATGACCACAACTGAGCCCAAAATTTCTTTTACTAAGCTGGATAGTTAAGTGAGTTTTGCCCCATTTTACAACCATTCTGGCCAGAGTTGTCAAGTGAACCACTGCAGTTGTTAAGTGTGACAAACTGTTTAAGTGACTTTTTAAATTATAAATGGTCATTTTAAATTCAAATGGTCATTAAATAAACTGTTGTAATTTATCTCCTTAAAAATAACTTATTTATTTACTTATTTATTTATTTTGTCAAGCATGTATGAGAAAACAAGTATAAGTTTGAACATAACATATAAACGTATAAGTATAAATGGGTATAAGTATATACATAATAAATAAGTATGAATAAATGGGAACAGTAGGTCAAAGATGGTAGGCACACGGGTGCACTTATGCACGCCCCCTTGCAGATCTTTTAGGAATCAAGTGAATTTGAAAGCTATTTTAAATGCAAATACAAAACCATTTCATTCATCACACTGGGTGTAAATCCAATGTTTTCTTGCACAAAAAATAAATGTTTGTGGTAATATTTAATGTTTTCTTGTACCAAAATAAAGGTTTGCAGTTATATTTAAAATGCTTCGTCTTTATTTCCAAACCTACTGTGTTATGCAAAACACTCAAGCAATAGGAGTAGATGTAACAAGGAAAAACATTCTGGTTTACAATGCTTACCAAAATTCAGGAATAGAATTAGGAATTCCATGGGGGGAAGGGGGATTGTCTTCTAAGGCATTCCATGGGAAATGCTGATAGAGCCATGTCTTAAAATATCATTCATAATTGTAAAAATGCTTAGCAATTCCTCAGTAAGATGTTGAGTATTATCTGACCTGTGGGGCTCATTATTTGGCACTATATCATCAATCATTTTGTATTTTATCCATGTAGTTTCTTGGTAAAAACACAGGAATGATTTAGCATTGCTTTCTCCTGCACAGTAAGAATTAACCAAAGTGATAATCTGCCTCTGGCATCTTCCTATATCACTTTGACAACATAGATGCCTGCTGATTTCAGCTGGATAGGTGGCATGACAGAAAGGTGGATGGATAAAGAACAGATAAAATGGGTGGGCAGACAGGTGGACAGATACATTTTAATGGAATTGGGCTGTATTTACCAGGACCAGAATCTTAATTCTTCTCTCTTTTTGAAAATATGAATTTATGTTCTAAAACAATCTCTCTGAATTTTATCCTAGTTCTTTTTCACTTTGAACAAACTGTTACAGAACAGTAAATGCTGAGGGGGGAATTCTAAAAGTTGGCATCAAATGCATCTTAAATGTGCAGTGCTGGAGAAAGTTATGTAATTGTTACATGCCAATCAATAAAAGTTAATTATAAATCACCTTCCTTTATTATATGTATTATTTATTGTCTTTACTATTATAGAAAACGACAAACCTTAGTCAGTTGCCCAAATCCCTGTGGCCATTCACTTTCACTGTGTAAGCCATTGGGATAATTTTCAATAGGACTTCTATATCCATGTCGATAAATCTAGGAAGAAAGGTTATAAGATTATATCACTTTATATATTTTTCATTATAAGCCTTTTGATACATTTTTAATTCCCACCTCCTCTCTTACACACACAGCTGGTGGGAGGGGTGAGAGAGAGAGAAAGAAAGAGAGTTTAATCCTATTAAGTAGCGGAAAAAAATCCAGAAGCTATTCTCTGCAAGTTTCCCCCACCTTGTTTTAGAATAACATAATATAAATATTATGTTATATTAACATATCATAAATATGCATAAACATCAGCAAGTATTGTGGGCCCAACTGACAAAGGAAAGCTCAAGATCATATTGCTTGGAAACTTGCAGAAGATCCAAATGGATAGATGCAGTGGAGGGGCAAAGGCTAGGATGATGATGATGATGATGATGATGAATATAAATAAAAGAATATGAAGAAGCATTTAAACAACCATGCATATGAAACCATGAATTATTTTGATTAAATACTCATAAGTAACTTCAACACAATATATACATAAGAAAAAGGTAACCAAACACTTGAAAAATATCAAAATAATTTTATAATCCTTCAGTTTAAAATCTATAACCTATATATCTTTCCTTACAGTAGGAATTTTTAATTGCTTATATATTGAACTATCTTATATTCTAGATCCTAGAAACAATGGTTGGAAACTAACCAGAGAGAGGCAACCTGGAATTAAGGACAAACTTTCTAACAGTCAGGACAATTGTGGGTGCTCCATCACTGGGTTTTTTTAGGAAGAGACTAGACTAGGGGTATCAAACTCTAGGAGCCAGATCCAGCCCATGGGGTACTTAGATCTGGCCTGCAAGGCTGCCCTGGAAACAGCAAAGAACTGGCCTGTGGTGCCTCTGCCAGCAAAAATGGAGCTCTGTTTTCACTGGCAGAGGGTTGAAGGAGGCCGTTGCAGCAAAAAATGGAGCTCAGGAGCTTGTTTTCACTGGCAGAGGGTTGAAGGAGGTCATCACAGCCGAAAACAGAGCTCAGGAGCCTGTTTTCATTGGTCAAGCACTTGGGCCACCACACATGATGTCAAGCTGGGCACACCCACCCCAGCCATGCCCACCCCAGCCCCCCAAGGTCAAACACAAGCCTGATGTGGCCCTCAATGAAATTGAGTTTGACACCCCTGTCCTAGGCTATATTATTACTGAAACAATTCTATTATGATTGGTCATATAGTCAGCTGTATGTTTAAACTGGATTTGGTATATTTTTCTATCTTCCTGAGGACCTGGGATAGGCAGATGTTGTTTGATGGTATTAAAAATATTGTCCCAGGATGTAAGGTCTTCCAAATAAATGCCTTTTGCAACCAAAGCTTTAAAATACTATTTGAACATCATTGGCATTCACTAACCAACTAACAAACCATTGACCAATTGCAAGATTCAGATTTATTTATTTATTTGTTATTATTATTTTACAATCATATAAGTAATGATTGTATACCAATAAAAATACATTAATGTGTATTTAATAATATCCAAAAGTTAGTGGCTCTTTGCTGAAGCATTTCTGAAGAAGACAACAAAGATAAGTGTTGTAGAGCGATGGTAAGGAAGAGGCATGAGACCAGAGTGTACAACTAACAAGGCTTTATTGCAGGGAATAAAGGGTTGTCGCATCTGCTTGCTAACTTGCAGACTAGCGGGCGACAACGGGCTGGCTCTGCTCGACAGCCGGCTTATATAGCCGACTGTCAAACGGAGCCAACCAATGGGAGCGGCTGGTGCTCCCGCTCAAACAGCGGACCTGGTTGGGAACTCCCACCAGTTCCACGGACATAACACTCCTTTCCCCCAGCTGGGAACATGCGTAGTCCTGTAGGTAAATTGGTTGTCTGCGCTGGCGACCAGAAAGTCGCAGTTCGGGTGAACTGTTGGCTGGTGACAAGTCCAGGCCCACGGGACGTGCCTCGACGGTCGTCGGGGCATGGGCTTGCCCCGGCACGGTGTTCTGCGAAGTCGGCGAGTCCCTTTGCTCGGGCTGACCCGGGCGAGTCTCGAGGTCCGGTTGGCAAACTGGAACGCTCGGCTGCTGAGTCGGTGATCCTGGCCGGAAACTCGGGTTCTCCAGTAGACCTTCCTGTTCATCGGGGAAAACCGGGTCCCACAGGGAGCTTCCGTCTGGCACCGGCAGGGAGACGTTGGCGCTGGCAGGTCGGGTTGGGTTGGTATCAGCCGCACGTCGCCTTCTGAGTTGGTCCACGTGCCTTCGCCACAAGCGTCCATCTTCCAGGAGGACCCTGTAGGATCTTGGACCTGTGACTGACACGATTTGACCTGGTACCCACAAAGGATCTCCTGCATAGTTCCTGGCGTACACCAGGTCCTGCAAGGCAAAGTCTCTGACCAGACTGTCAGACCCTAAAGGGGTGTCTGGGCAGTAGTGGGGGTGTAGCCTGTCCAGGGTGGTTCTAAGGCATCTCCCCATTAAAAGTTCGGCGGGAGATTTGTTAGTAGCGGTGCAAGGCATCGTATGTTGGCTGAGCAGGAAACGAGACAGTTTAGAGTGCCAGTCTTCCTGGCCAAACCTGGCAAGTGCCTCCTTGGCTGACCTAACTGCTCTCTCTGCCATCCCGTTGCTAGCGGGGTGAAAGGGAGCTGTAAGGACATGTCTGATGCCCAAATTAGCCACGTATATACTGAACTCACATGATGTGAACTGCGGGCCATTGTCAGACACCAGCGTGTCTGGAAGTCCATGGGTGATAAATAAACGGGTCAGGGCTTTGACTACGGCTTGGGTGGTGGTCGTGGGAAGCAAGGCCACGTCAATCCACTTGGAGTAGGAATCCACGACCACCAAGAAAGTCTTGCCATGCACTGATCCAGCCAGGTCGATGTGCAGGCGAGACCAAGGGGCACTAGCACTTTCCCACCTGGTGGGCGTGGCGGCTGGCGGGGCAGCCCTGGTTTCTTGGCAAGGTTGGCAAGAGCTTACCCAGTTGGCGATTTGAGCATCCATGCTGGGCCACCAAACGTAGCTGCGGGCCAACGCCTTCATCCTTACGATGCCCGGATGGCCCTCGTGCAGCACCTTCAGGATGGGTACTCAAAGGGTGGCTGGGATGACTACTCTTGTACCCCACAATAGACATCCCTGTAGCCTCGACAGTTCCTGCTGGCGGGTTTTAAAGGGAACAAAGTCAACTGTACATTGAGTTTCCGGCCACCCCCTTCCCACCCAGTCCAGAACCTGGGCGATTATTTTGTCTTTTTTTGAGTGCGCCGCAATGTCTTCGGCTGTCACTGGAAGTTTGAGTTCGTTGACCTCAAAAATGGCGTGAATTGGTGCAGGGTCCTCAACTGGGGCTGGCAGGGGGCAGCGACTGAGGGCATCGGCATGACTCAAGT